CATATAATAAAATTGTAACCAAGCCGAATCTGTACATTAAATATTTTTTGGAAAATCTAATTGAAATAGACATTATCGATCGATCGATACAGACGCCGTATTTATAGTTTTTAGAATTTTGGTCTGTCTGCCCGTCTGTGAGCGCATCACGAGAAAACCACTGAACAGATTTAGATGAAATTTGGTATGATGATAGATTGGTTATCCGGGTCAACATATAGGATACTTTTTACTGCGGGAAAATATCTCATCTCTGAGAAATCTATACTAAACGTTAAAACGTAACTAGGGACGAACTCGAGCGGAGCGAGGGTGAGTCGCTAGCCTAAAAAATAAAACTTCACCTATAAAATAAAATTAGACTGACAGACAGACTAAAAAATTTTGAAAAGTTAAAAAAGTTTTGATTTGGACTTAAATCCCTGAAGTTAACTTTCCCGTATCTAGAAGTTTTTTCTTATAATTCCACGTGAACTGTTTTTTTATTTGGGTTAAATAATAGCTTATTTTCATATTTTTTTTTCATTTCCAGCTCAAATTCATGTCTAACCAATGCTCTGTTATATAAATAAAATACTCATTTTTGACAGTCGGTCAAAATAATTAATAATTTTTTTATAATATATAGTACGTACCTATTCCATCATGATAATGTAATTAAGGCCCAGACTAATCTGACCTAGAGAGAGAAGACCTAGGAAAACCAACTTTAGGACTTAAATTTTGCCTATAATACGAGTACAATCTCAAAGAAAGATTTTTTATAAATCTCATAAAATATCAAAACTTGTATGAAAAACAATATTTTAGAAGTGTAAAATTTAACAATATCGCATAGACTATGTCCATATTCATAATGTCAATCTATGTAATTGCAAAATTTCTTCAAAATCTGTTCAGCCTTTTGAACATGTCACAGACAGAAAGAGTTACTTTCACATTTAATATAGCTGTGAATAGTTTAGAATAACAGTTACCCATCGGCCATCAATACATCACAGTTGAATAATTTAAACGCACATCGGCATAGAAATTGTTGCGTGACAATTCTTTACTGAATGCAAAGAGAAAGCTAATAGCTATTTGCACCCAAGTGCTATCTGCTGTTAAGCGAGTTTCATATTTTTGACCGACTGAAAAATGGAGGTAACTGGGTTCTTACTGTTTATGGAAAAACTAGCACTGCCCGCGGCTTCGCCCGCGTTCATATGACTAAAAACCAAATTCTTAGGCTTTACATATCAGTATACTCTTACATTGCAGTTTTTGTATTTTTTCTCAGAAATGAGACATTTTCCCGCGATAAAAAATTATCTTATATTTGACCCGGATAACCAGCTATCATCATACCAAATTTTATCAAAATACCTCCTGTGGTTTTTCTGTGATGCGGTAACAGACAGACAGACAAAAATTCTAAAAACTATAGATTCGATAATAATGTCTATTTCAATAGGATTTTCAGAAAAATATTTAATGTACAGATTCGACTTAGTATGTATAAAAGAGTAGGAAATGACACAATTTAAAAGAAAATTACCTGGGCGATCGAACTTCGCTCGGTGTTTTGTAAAATCGTATTTTATCAGATAAACTTCAAAAAGTAAAATTTTATCTAAATACTAAATTTGATCCAAATCGTTTGAGCCTTTTCCAAGATACACGAAATTTTGTATACATACATAATACATAGTACCTGGGCCACCGAGCTTCGCTCGGAGTTTTTTGGTCGAAAGTACAATTTTCTTTAAAAAAAAAACTAAAAACTTGAATAAATACAAAAAAAAATCAAACAAAGGTATCTTTGTATCCGACCAGGATTCGAACCCGGACACCTATGATTGTCAATCTTGCGCCTTGGCCGTTTGACCAAGACCCTAAGTCCCTTTTAACCGATTCCAAAAAAAAGTAGGTAAACTGTACAACGATTTTAATCATGTTTTTTATGATATAAAAACCTCGCAATACAAGTTACAACGCTCAAAATGGTTCATATCTACTAATTCCACCAGGGTTATTATTTCAAAACTAGTTTTATTTCATATAATTTTGACGACACGTTTGGCTCAGTTTGTAGCGCTCTGCCAGCACCCTACTTGTTGTGCCAGCGGTCGCGGGTTCGAGTCCCGCTGGAGGCATTCATTTGTGTGATGAGCACGAATGTTTGTACTCCAGTCATGGGTATTTAAAGTTATAGTGTAGCGTATCAACTATCTGGTATCCATAACACAAACAAGCCTCGTAGCTTACCATGGAACTAGATGGTGCTGTGTGTTAATGTTCAAACATATTTATTTGTAATACAAATTATATCTTAAAATGTCTACATAATATAAAATTCTATAGCTAATATAAACACCTATAACATACAGAAATAGAATCCGCTATGTCCAATAATAAAAATTGCCAGTCACATAGCAAGTGTGCCACCACTAATTATTATAAGTCACGACTATATTTTTATATGCATAGACATTAGGTACATGTAATATAAGATAAACACCAGAGGTACTCAAACTTTTAATCATATTGACCTATAAAATTTTCGCATATATATTTTGTGACTCTTGCACTTATGGAGAATTAAAATCTCCTTGGATCGATAGGGGTCCATAAGTTCTTGTAATAACCCACTCACACACTTTCACTTCCTTCTTTATCTGACTGTCACTTAATGTAACTGTCAGTTAATTTAACTGTCAGTTAGTTTAACTGTCAGTTACTTTAACTGTTAGTTAGTTTAACTGTCAGTTAGTTTAACTGTCAGTTACTTTAACTGTCAGTTACTTTAACTGTTAGTTAGTTTAACTGTCAGTTAGTTTAACTGTCAGTTAGTTTAACTGTCAGTTACTTTAACTGTTAGTTAGTTTAACTGTCAGTTAGTTTAACTGTCAGTTACTTTAACTGTTAGTTAGTTTAACTGTCAGTTAATTTAACTGTTTGTTATATTTACCGTCAGTTTCATTGACTGTCAGTTACTTTAACTGTCAGTTACTTTAACTTTCAGTTAGTTTAACTGTTAGTTAGTTTAACTGTGAGTTAGATTGACTGTCAGTTAGTTTGATTGACAGTTGCTTTAACTGGCAGTTAGTTTAACTGTTAGTTAGTTTGACTGTCAGGTACTTTAACTGTCAGTTAGATTAACAGTAAGTTAGGTTATCGGCTAGTTAGCTTAACTGTCAGTTAGTTTAACTGACAGTTTCTTTTTTTGAAAATGTTTTTATTTTTCTTTTCTCTAAATTATATCGGGTAAATGGCCGGATAACTAAATATTAATCGCGAAAATTGAGTAGTGAAGTTACTATTATAAATGTAAAAGTATGTGTGTGTGTGTGTGTGTGTGTGTGTGTGTGTGTGTGTGTGTGTGTGTCTGTGTGTGTGTGTGTGTGTGTGTGTGCGTGTGCGTGTGTTACTCCTACCCGCTGAAAGGGCTGGACCTATTTGAATGATATTTAGTGCACAGATAGACCATGACCTGGATTTGAACATAAGCTGTAAAGTGTAAAATGGAATTTACACCTAGGGAGACATCTGAGCGAAGCGAGTGCAAGTCGCCAGTAATATATAAAGAAATAAATATACTCACTAATTTATATATTAACCTATTGTATGAAGGAGGTATTTAAATCATATGTATGTTTCTTGTCGATATGTTACACGATAACTTCGTTAATTGTAAAATGCTTATCATAATTTATTTTAATATATTAATTCAAGAAAAAAATCCAGTCATATGGTAGTAATAAATATTTTTAACTTGATCTTGTAGTTATTGGAAACCTTTTTGGTGTTCGCGTACACAACTTTGAGAAACTCTGGATTACACAATAGCTTATGACTTACGACATATCCGTGTGAAGGTCCCTACTTATACCTACATCAATCGTGTTTGGATTTTAATTAGTACCTACATAAAAAAACAAACCATTATAAAAAATAATATATTAGTGAAATGAAATAAACTTTATTCTATTAGACTTATTACAAGTGATTTTGAATCGTCATTTTAATGTAAGCGTCCGTGTGGTCAGTCCGTGAGGAAGCTACCAACGGCTCGGAAAGCAGTTCTGCTGAGAAGAGCCGGCGAGAAACTCTAGTAACTAGCGAGTTACACTGCCTTTTATATAAATTATTCTATAAATATAATAAAATGCGAAAGTTTGGATGGATGGATGTTCGTTACTCAATCACGCCAGAACGGCTGAACGGATCTGGATGAAATTTTGGCACAGAGATGGATTATAGTCTTAAATAGGTCATAGGTTACTTTTTATCCCGGAAAAATGTACGGTTCCCGTGGGATAGATTTGTTTTTGTTTTTGAGTTTCTAATAATATTATATGGATCGCCATCTTTTGACAAATTTTCTTATCAACTGTAGTCTAACTGATAATAATTTAACAAATCTGTCGAGCATTTTGGCGTGAAGGAATAATGAAGATACACACACAAGTATAAACAAACATTCAAATAATAGTATGATGATATCTTTATTCTTTAAAATATCAACCATTTTCTAATATAATTTAAACAAAAACATATATGTAAATATCTAGTTTTCTTTGTTCACGATACAATAGTGCATATATCTGTGAAATTATGTGGACGTCAAAAAATAATATACATACGAGTACCTACATATTTAAGACATGTAATATTTAGATTTGCTCAGTTTTCAATCTATTTCAAAGGTATTCAGACTTCAGTCCTTTGTGCCCCGAGTTGTATTAACATCAAGAATCAAACCTGTGATTACCGACTTCAAAACGAGAGTTATATCTAAAGGTTGTTATTTAATGTGTATCATATTCCAGCCGTTTCAGATTGAAGAAGTAACAAACAAACATACATACACTCATACATAATAATACCTAGTAGTCGATTCTTTGTTATTATATAATTATATATATATAATTATACTAAAAAAAACTAAACCCGAAATGTCCAATTTTTATTTATTAGGTTAATATTTATTTAACAAGCTATTATTTTGTCCACAGAACAAAATGAGGGCGCTGCTGGTTTTAGCCTTACTTACTTTTATATGCGGTGCATTGGCCAAGAACAAAAAAGATGACAAAGTGAGTGAAATGTACAAACTTTTTTTTTTAAACACACATCACCATCTAGATCCATGGTAAGCTACGAGGCTTGTGTTATGGATACCAGATAGTTGATACACTACACATATATAACTTTAAATACATATATATTATAAATATAAACACCCATGACTGGAGTACAAACATTCGTGCTCATCACACAAATGAATGCCCCCAGCGGGGCTCGAACCCGTGGCCCAGCACAGCAAGTAGGGTCACTACAAACTGAGACAAACGTGTCGTCTAAAAAAATGCGAAATATTTTTTCTTTTTTCATAATAAATTTAAAAAAATAACATTGTTGGAACAGATTAAAAAATTTTTTTCCAGGTAAAAATAGCCGTGTACTACGAATCCCTATGTCCTGACAGTAAAAAGTATATAACTGAACAATTAGCCCCCATATGGAGAGACTTCCGCGGGCTCGTCAAAGTGAAGCTTGTACCTTATGGGAAAAGCACGGTGAGTAAAATCAAACGGGTTCACGAACTTCAAAGCTGAGAAGTAATTGTGCCCCCATAACGGGTGGATCTTAATACAATATCTAAGATAGATAAATAATAAATATAGATAGACAACCAGACAGACAGACAATTTCGATTTTAATACAATATCTAAGATAGAGACAAACAGACAGACGATGTCTGTTTGTCTGTCTCAGACACTTTATTGCACGCCACACAAGAAATGGCAAATTTTCTAACTACTAGCGACTCACCCACACTCCGCTCGTGTTCGTCACTAGTTACGTTTTATCTTTTAGTATAGATTTCTCAGAGATGAGATATTTTCCCACAATAAAAAGTATACTATATGTTGACCCGGATAACCAGCTATCATCATACCAAATCTGTTCAAGATTTCTCGTTGTGCGTTCCCAAACAGAGAGACAGACGAAAATTCTAAAAACTATAGATTCAGTCTCTGTAACGATAATAATGATTATTTCAATAAGATTTTCCAAAAAATAATTAAAGTACAGTTTCGACTCAGTTAGAATCCATACTAATATTACTAATACTAATAGGTATACTTATTAATATTATAAAATGTGAAAGTGTGCTTGTTCGTTTCTTTGTTTGTTTGTCCTTTTTCACGTCGAAACGGAGTGACGGATTGTCGTGATTTTTTGTGTGGAGATAGTTGGAAGGCTGGAGAGTGACATAGGCTACTTTTTACCGCGGGATATTGTCTAATTCCCACGGGAAAACACGTTATAATACAAACCAAAAAAAAAATTATGTCCAGAATTACTTGAAACTTGGTACTAATGCTCTACAATAAAATTAAATAAATACGTGTTTTAGCATTTTTCGAAATTCATCCATCATCATATAAGGGAGTAAAATAGGGGATGAAAGTTTGTATGAAATTACATCATTAGAGTTTTTGTTGTAGTTTTAGCGCGAGCGAAGCCGCGGGTTCTGCTAGTTTTATTATATGTATAGAAGACAAACGATTGCTATAAGCTCGCAGTTATTTTAATAGCATGATGCAAACACTTGCACGTACTCAGCATTCATCATCAATGCTTTGTTGCTATTATAAATAATTCAATAAATATTTTACTTATATATGTACATATGATATACTTAATACTAGTGTTCAGACCTGGTTTGTCACTTTTTTTTTTAAATTCTTTATCCATGTAACTTTGTGTTTTTTTACATAAAAATATTAGTAGAACCCGCGGCTACGCCCAAATTCAATCTACTATATCTATACATATAATAAAATTGTAACTAAGCCGAATCTGTACATTAAATTTTTTTTGAAAAATCTTATTGAAATAGACATTATTATCGATACAGAGTCCGAATCTATAGTTTTTAGAATTTTTGTCTGTCTGTCTGTCTGTTACCGCATCACGAAAAAACCACTGGACAGATTTTGATGAAATTTGGTATGATAGCTGGTTATCCGGGTCAACATAATATAGGATACTTTTTACCGCGGGAAAATATCTCATTTCTGAGAAAAAATACAAAACTGCACTGTAAGAGTATACTAACATGTAAAACCTAAGAATTTGGTTTTTGGTCATCTGACCGCGGGCGGAGCCGCGGGCAATGCTAGTATGCTATATGACCTTATGTTAGTTCATCATTTTCTATTATAACGTATAGGTAAATGATGCATTACCTATATTTATTTATATGCGTGGCAATAGTAGCAAAGTGGTTACGCGCTCGCTTGGGAAGCCGAATGATGCGGGTTCAAATCCCAGGTCTTCCACCTCTGATATTTTCATGTGCGAATCATTTCCAACATGATCACCACTTATCTTACGGTGAAGGAAAACATTGTGAGGAAACCTGCATGTCTGTGGGAACTTAGCAAGTTTTCAAAAGACATGTGAAGTTCGCCAACCCGCACTTGGGCAGCGTGGTGGATTTTGGCCTGATCCCCCTCGTATTGGGAGGCCCATGCCCAGCAGTGGGACGTTAAAAAGGGTTGAATACATATTTATAGTATGTCGGTCTAGAGCTAGACTCTAGTGGATTGCAAGTACGGCGGCAAATCAAGACGTCTAGGGTTCGAATCCCCAGTCGGGCAAATAGCAATTATTAAGGCGTTTTCCTTTAAGAAAACCTCAGTACCCGGAGTATGCCTTAATAACAGCCTTAAATTTTTAGTTATAGTTGTATGCGGAGGTGGTACTGTTATTAAATTTTTTTTTTAATTATCGATTTTTTTTTAATTATCTATGGCTGGACGTCTGCCTTAGATTCTTCATATTAGTCTATATTTTACTCTTAAGACCTAAGTGATAATCTATATGTATACTAAATTACATCAAAATCCGTTCAGGCGTTTCAGCGTAAAGAAGTAATAAACATACACACAAACTAACTTTATATATATATATCTATATTTATACTCCTTTTTTATTCCAGCACGATCAATTAGACGGCAAATGGGTATTTAACTGCCATCACGGCGAGGCAGAATGCTTTGGAAATAAGGTACGTAACCATTTCACAAATCAAACCCACGCTTCACCTCTGATATTCTCATGTGCGAATCATTTCCACTAGTCTTACGGTGAAGAAAAACATCGTGAGGAAATCTGCATGTTTGAGAGAACCTAACAAGTTTTCGAAAGACATGTGAAGTCCGCTCGCACTTGGCCAGCGTGGTGGACTATGGCCTGATCCCACTCATTTTGGGAGGCCCACTCCCAGCAGTGGGACGTTAAAAAGGGTTGAAAGATGAACTATTTTTAATTTTATAATCTATCTTTCTTTAGTAATGTTATAAAGGTGAAGCTTATTTTTGTATGTTTGTACGCGCTTGTCTCTAAAACTAGCAGTTACATTTAATTTCTAAAAAAAAATGCCAAAATTTGTGTCATGAATAAGATTTTCCTACCAAATACACACATACATAATATAAAAATTTGTGTCTAAAAATGCTTAAAAGACAATGTTGTTTCATGCAATAAACACTTTTGACCAAAAATAGCTCTTAATAATTTTTAATAAAACCAAGTTTTCGGTTTTTTTCGCGGATTTATTTTGATTTTTGGTTCCCGACATTTCTATTCAGTCTCTCCCGTGACCATGATTGCTGTAAAGCAAACCACGTGGCGACCCAAAAATCAAAATAAATCCGAAAAGATAGTTTTATTTAAAACTAGCTGACACGACAGACCTCGTTCTTGTCAAGTACCTACGTAGTAGACCTGATTAAAAAAATGGTGTTTTTATATTTGTCCGGGCATTTAGTATAGATTTCTCAGAAATGAAATATTTTCCCGCACTAAAAAGTATCCTTTTTATTGACCCGAATAACCACCTATATCATACCAAATTTGATCAAAATCTATCCAGTGGTTTTTCTGTGATGCGGTAACAGACAGACAGATAGACAGAAATTCAAAAAACTATAGGTTCGTCCTCTGTATCGACAATAATGTCTATTTCAATAAGATTTTCCAAAAAATATATTTAATGTACAGATTCGGCTTAGTTAGAATTTTATTATATGTATAGATAGAAGATATCAAATAATCGTGTAAAATCTAAGTATTTATTAACTCCAGTAATAAATGGTAATCCCACTTTTTTTCAGATCCAATCCTGCATTTTGAAAGACCGCAAACTACAGGACACTGAGAAAATGGAGATGATCATCTGTTTGATGAAACAGACCAACCCCGATAAGTCTCTTGACACGGTAATATATTATATTAACTGCTTTAGTGTAGTGGTTAGTATGTAGCTCCACATACAAGAAGTCCAGGGTTCGAGTCCCGGATCTGGTCGAGTTTGGTTAGTGTTAAAAAATCCGAGTAACATCCCGGAGTTCGAAAGTTGATGGTTGGTATGTAAAGTCTGATCTCTCACTGGTCGTGTAGAATTATTGTCCTATCGGATCTTGAGAGTGAAAGAGACAGAGAATACATGTTTTGTCTTTCTCCCTCACACTTGTGAACTATATAATATCTGATACAGATCGGGACGGAGACGGTCGGGATTACATCATGATTCTTTATATCTATAACTAGCGGACCCGACAGACGTTGTCCTGTCTACACGTCTTTAATTTGAAAATTTCACTTTTTTAATAATTTTTTTGATAAAAATTATTATTCAAATTGTGAATCTAAACCATTCCCAGATCCCCTTGAACACGCACAAAAAATTTCATCAAAATCGGTCCAGTCGTTTGAGAGAAGTTCAGTGACATACACACTCACAGAAGAATTATATATATAAAGATAAATTTATAAAAATAAAAATTATTTAACCTTAAAATTTAATTCAAAATTTGGGCAATTTAACATATTTTGACTGTAAAGAAAAATTAGTTCAATTAAATATCAATAGATGGCGTTGTTTTGAAAATAGCACCTCAAAAGCAATATTTACATTGGACCATAGTTTAAAGTATTTCAAAGTTACCCAGAATGAAAATTGAAGTGTCTGTTTGTGATGTCAAAATAACAGCTTTTTAATCTAAATGTATATAAAAATACGGTACTTTTAAGAAAAACACAACTTTTAAAATGTTTGTCTGTCCGTTTGTTCCGGCTAATCTCCGAAATGGCTGAACTGATTTTGACGAGACTTTCATTGGTAGACTGGTGTTATAAGGATTAACTTAAGATTATTTTTCATTTTACAAAAATAATTAGGGTTCCGCTCAAAAAAATTAAAACGTATATAGGGACGCACTCGAGCGAAGCAAGCTTAAGTTCTTAGTAAATAAATAAAATCAAACCAAATACAATTATAACAGAACAATATAATTGCAGTGTCTAAAAAGTGTCAAGCGTGAAGCGGAATCGGACAAAATAAACCGTTGTGCAAATGGCAGCCAGGGGGACTCCTTGCTCGCGTCGTACGGGGACAAGACCGACGCGGTGCAGCGGCCGTTGTCATTCGTACCTACAGTTGTTATCAATGAGGTATGTAGTAATATATATATATATATATATATATATATATATATATGTATATAGCAATCATGGTCAAGGCAGTGGTAGCCCAGTGGTAACGCGCTTGCTTGGGAAACCGAGTGAAGCGAGTTCAAATCCCGGGTCTCGCACTTCTGATAGTTTCATGTGCGAATCATTTTCAACATGATTACCATTTGTCTTAACGGTGAAGGAAAACATCGTGAGGAAACCTGCATGTCTTAGAGAACTTAGCAAGTTTTCGAAAGACATGCTCAGTCCGTCCGCACTTGGCCAGCGTGGTGGACTATGGCCTGATCCCCCACGTATTGAAGGGAGGCCCGTGCCTAGCAGTGGGACGTTAAAAAGGGCTGAACACAATCATGGTTACGGGAGAGACCAAGGTTTAGACCTCTCAAAGACATTATATACCTAGTTGTTACAGATATCCTACCCATAAAATGTGATTGATTGCTATAAAGCATTCGAAACGTCAGGAACCAAAAATCAAAATAAATCGGTGAAATAATCCGAACAGATAGTTTTATTTAAAATGTTCAAATATTCTCATAAATCTTGAGAAAGTATTGATTTATATAGAATACTAGCGACTCACCCTCGCTCCGCTCGGCTTCGTCCCTAGTGAAAATTTAGGTTTGTATGTATTTTTAATGCCAAATCATAACATTTTTTTTTTGGGGTGCACCACCCTTATCACTTAGGGGTATGAAAAATAGATAGTAGCCGATTCTCAGACCTACTGAATACGCATATAAAATTTGGTAAAAATCGGCAAAGCCGTTTCGGAGGTACGGTAACTAACATTGTGACATGGAAATTTTATATATAATATTTATACAGACATTGGTAGCTAGGTGGTAGCGCGCTCGCTTGGGAAACTGAGTACCCTATATGAAAACTCCAATAGTATCCCATCGAAAGCGACAAAAGCCACATAGAAACCAATACATATGTATTGGTTTTGTCGCTTTTGATGGGATTTTATTGGTGTTTTTCAACAGGGTAAAACGGGTTCAAATCCCGGGACATGTTTGAATGATTACCACTTACTTATCTTATGTCTGAGAGAACCTAGCAAGTTGTCTATATATGCTCAGTCCAACCGCACTTGGCCAGCGTGATGGACTATGGAACCAAAAATGATATTGATTAATTAATCGATTTCAGAAAAGACGATTTAGCTGTTTTTTTTTTGTTTGTACAAATCCAATCGATATTTTTATTAATCCTAAGTACTAATAACTAAAGGTTTTTTTAAATTAAGGTTTTTAAACTTATTATCCTAACGAAAAATAATTAAAAAAAAAAACTTTTTAATGCCAACATTAAAAATAAAATATTTCTTTTTCAGAAATACGATCAAGCGGTGCAAGACGAGGCCATGACTAACTTAAAGGCAGTGGTTTGTCGCAACCTGCCAAATAAACCGCCGACATGTTAATTTTATTATTAATTATAAGTACATTTTAAATTTAAATACAATTTTATATCTAAACTTGTTGTTTTATTAAACCAAAACAAAAAACTTTTTAAGTAAAATAAAATAATTTTTATCTTTACATAGTATAAAATGGAGTCGTTTCCGCTGTCTGTTTGCTTAGATCTTTTAAACTACTCAACGGATTTTAATGCAGTTTTTAGCAATAGATAGTGATTCAAGAGGAAGGTTTGTATGTATAATACATGCATATTATAGTACAGGAAAGCTGAGAAATTCAAAGATTTGTCTATATGTTATTAAAGGTCATAGTCTACAAAATTCATCCAAATCTGTCCAGCCGTTTCAGCGTCAAGGAGTAACAAACAAACATACACATACATACAAATTTTCGCATTTATAATAGGATTCCTATTATATGTAACTTTCATCTATTACATAAGATTATTGATTGTTAAATTAAATCTTCAAAATAAGTTGGACCCAGTTATGCAAAAAACAGCCGTGTGCGTAAAAGTACCAACAGAGTTATAAGCATTTTTCGGTCGATAGTTGCATTTGGGTTATGTTTTGTTTTTCTGGTTATTTTAAAATTGAACAATATTTATATAAGTATTGTTTATTTTTTATAATTATTTTATTTTTTTATAATAAAACTAGCGACTCACCCTCGCTTCGCTCGGGGTCGTCCTTAGGTACGTTTTATCTTAAAATGGATATAGTATGTTATCCTTAAGAGATAGACATATGCCATCGCGGACTTTTCTGTAGACCTATATAAGATACACAATTCCACCATACATTATTTTGTTATATCTCAAAGGGTTTAGGCAGCGTTTTCGTTGAAAGCTCCCAGACGTCTTATTTTTTCCGACACCTCCAACAAATATCGTTATATTTTATTACCATTATAAAAGTTTTAACTTCAAAAAATAAAAAGCAAAATTCATTTTGGATAGACTATATTTACATAACATTTACAAATCGACATCTGCGAGGAATAATATTGTAACTCAATATTGAGAAAATTAAAAAAAAAACCTATATACTTAAAGTCTAAACCATTGATATATAAAAACTTAGAAGATACACATTTACTAACAAATATATCATCAAAAAGTGGCGTCGATATGTGATGCTAAGTCAAACCAAAGAGTAAAATTAAAAAACCGAAAGTTTTAGCTGTCTAAACACAAATTGGAACTTACGCACACCACATAGAGTACATTTTTAAATGAAACAATATGCGTTTTAATATTGTCATTAAAAAAGCAATGAGCAAACGAGCTTTGAAAAAAGCGAGATTTTTTTTTTAGGACACTTGTGACGCTACTTGTGTATCTGAGTTTTTGTATGTCAAAGATCTAAATAAACTAGAATATTAAGTTAAAATTCTGTTCCTTGCAGGCATTAAAATATTTAAAAAAATCACAACAGCGGCCAGCGCCATAACCATTTACATATTTAGGGATGTAACTTATAATCAGGGCTCGGAACCGGTTTAAAAAAATGGTTAATTTCGGTATGTATTGGTTAATTATTCGTCGCTGTTTCATTAACCGGTTAAAAAACGAACGGTTTAGTAAACCGAAATAATAATGGTTAATGGTTATTCTTAGAGAGCGGTTAGACTTAGGTTTTGATACCGAAATAAATCGGTTAATTCATTCACGTAAAAAAAGTACACGTTTCCTTCTACTAAGCCATTGATCACTAGCAAAGATTTGCTAAATGTAACCGCACAAAAACTTATTTCAAATCCGAATTTCGATCATGTAATCTAAATTCATCAAAAACCGGTTTCCGGGTTTTAACCGGTTATAAAATATAAACGAAACCTTAAACCGAAATACCTTTCGGTTTCGAATGAATGACCAAAACCAATTTAAAAAAGAACAGATTTCCGAGCCCTGCTTGTAATATAAAAAAATAATAATAAAAAAACAATTTGTCAATTAAAATATCTTACACTATATAGTATCTTAGAAGGCCCCTTAAAAGGGGGCCTTGCTACAAAAGTATTAAATTTACAAATTAGGCTGCCAGTGCAAATAAGGTCAATATATATGAAAAAAAGGACACTATTAATATATTATACAAATAAATATCTGTCCTTTTTCCCATAAATAAACGTTCTAAAGTTTAAGTGTCTATGAATAAAATAGACTCTCTCAGACTAAGGAATATATAAACAGTGTCATAGAACTGAAGCCAAACAGTAATTTAAAATAGTGTACAAATTACAATTTGTATACCGAGTTATAAGTAAATAAATGTTAATAAATAAACATAGCTAACGGACTTTAATATAATAAAAAAATATATATTTGCTAAAATAATGCTATCTCTTTCAAGAGGAAGAGAACTAATGCTTAAAAAATACAAAAGAATATACCTAGTATTATTCTCAAAAAATGTAGATAATATATTATTATTATTCTTTGAAGAAAATTATCGATTTTTTATGTCAAAATCGAAAATGGTAGCGTAAACAACAAATCACACTACTATTTTTGACTTTGACATTTATTGGACTCCATCTATAAAATTCTTTAGTCTGAGATTCCACAGAAAAAAAATTGACTATAAACAAAACACAGATAAAAAAACCAACTCACATTAGCTGTGGCGTAATTAGCCTTTTCAGGCTCTAATACAAAAAAATGCCCCTCTGCCTATTATGAAATAAAATGCGAAAGACACTTTTTTCTTGGGGTTCTTTTTAAACTTCTATGAGAGCAGTCCTCGAAAGAATCGTTTGGGGCCCCCTTAGATCAGGGGACCAAATGCGACAGTATGGCATTGACATAGCTACACCACTACAAATTAATCATCTTCTTCATAATCCTTATGCCGTCTCATCTTATGCCTTTTCATATCGGACTTCCTCTTAGTTTCATATTCGCATATACCACACACATATTTACTCGGACCGCTCGAACACAACTTAACATGTTTCACCAAATCCACTTTAACATCAGATTGAAACCCGCACTTTTCACATTTAAAACCTTTTTTAGCGTTCACTAATTTAACACAATCATGAGTTTTGAGGTGATAGATGAGGCTCATGTTGTGTCTCGCTTTGAAGTCACACAGATGGCATCTAAATTTCTTATCATCCAGATGTTTTCTTTTATGCCGGACAAACTGAGTTTTGCTGGCCGTTGTATATCCACATATTTGACAAATTTGCACTACCGTCGGATGTTCCGCTAAGTGTCTCTTATATTCAGACTTGCTTGTAGTTCTAAAATGGCATTCGACACAATAAAATTCATATAAGCCCCACATAATTTTAGCAATGTTGTCTTCAGCCCGGTGCTTTGCTTTGAGTTTTTTCGTTTTCGTCGGTTTTTCGACGAGTTTCACTAATGGCACGTCATCTTCGTCGGTTTCGTCGGACACTTCCACTGTATCTATTTTGGGCTCTTGTATTATAACGTCGTCTTCGTCGCTCGATGTTAATAGACTGATTGGGTCATCTTTTCTGTGAAAATGGGAAAGATGTGTATAATTAAAGAATTTGTTTAGATTTGCAGGAGCTTTTGACCAAGTTAAAAAAAAGAGGAGTGCGAAATTGTTATAATTGCATGTTATGTGATATTTTTAATATTATCTTTAGATTTTAATAGGTATAGGTAAATATTTCTTTCTTTCTTAGATATACGCGAATATTTGACATCTATACATGTAATAAAGTTGTAACTAAGCCGAATCTGTACATTAAATATTTTTTGGAAAATCTTATTTAAATAAACATTATTATCGATACAGAGGCCGAATCTATAGTTTTTAGAATTTTTGTCTGTCTGTCTGTCTGTCTGTTACCGCATCACAGAGAAACCACTGGAGGGATTTTGATGAAATTTGGTATGGTAATAGCTGGTTATCCGGTCAACATATAGGATACTTTTTACCGCGGGAAAATGTCTCATTTCTGAGAAAAAATACAAATACTGCATTGTAAGAGTATACTAATATGTAAAACCTAAGAATTTGGTTTGTGGTCATGTGAACGCTGGCGGAGCCGCGGGCAATGCTAGTTTTAAATAAAACTTCTTGGATTATCCAAAAATAACATAATTCTGTAAAAATATCCGAAGCGATAGTTCTATTTAATAAGTGTATATACATACATGGTCATTTTTAATTTACTGAAAACCTTTTGGGAATATATTATTTACATCATAACAACAACATCTGTAACAAGAAAAAATGATATTTCTTAAATTTTTATTTTCATACAAAAATAAAAATATTTTTATTGCACCTTCTAAACGGTAAAGTTCTAGCATCTGGCCAAGTTTAAATGAGTAAGGGCCACTTCCTACACCCCTCCTCCTCCACCCCTCCCCCTCCACGCCTCCCACTCCCCCCACCCCTCCTCCTCCACCCCTCCCCTCCACGCCTCCCCCTCCCCCCACCCCTCCCTCTCCACCGGTCATACGCTTTCATTTGCTAATTGCTGGACTATTACCGTTTAGAAGGAGCAATAAAAATACTTTTATTTTTGTAAAATCTAAGAAATATTATTTTTTTTCTTACAGATGTTATTGTTATGATGTAAACAATATATTCCCAATAGGTTTTCAGTAAATTAAAAATGACCCTATATATATGAAATCTGTATGTTTTTGAAATAAGTTCCATATAAACTTTAATAACTTTAAAATTATGGTTTGTTTATGTGTGTGTGTGTGCGTATAGGTGCGTGGATGTCTGCACATATATTGTCCACTATAAAATCTATTAAATTAAAAAAACTGACTTCTCCCCTAAATCCACCACATCATCATCCAGGTCGGGGTCAGGGTCAGGGTCCGGGTCTTCCAGCATGAGGCTGGTGGGGTCCACTTCACATTGTACACTCTCTAATAGCATTAAACAATCTTGGCTGTTTGACTGTTCTCCACCTGACAAAAAAAAAACAATGAATAAGCATTAAGAAAGTACAAAGTATATGTAAGTAAGACCTGAATAACCAGCTATTATCATACCAAATTTCATCAAAATCTGTCCAGTGGTTTTCTCGTGATGCGTTCCCAGACAGACCGATAGACGAAAATTCTAAAAACTATAAATTCGGCCTCTGTATCGATAATAATGTCTATTTCAATAAGATTTTCCAAAACTTATTTAATGGACAGATTCGACTCAGTTAGACTTTTATTATAGATAGTAGTAGACTCATGACGTTCAGTGAAAAATTGTAATAATTTAATGCTGAATAAAATATTTTGAATTTTTTTTGAATATGTTTATGTATAGATAACGTCCTTCCGACCGATTTCGGCCACGGCGGCCAAACTCACTGAGACTAGCCAACGCGGGAGAGAGATACACAACGTGCTCTCTCTATCTCTTTCACTCTCGTGCGTCGGATGGACGATACGACAACGATACGACGACGATACGGACGTCGGATTGTCTCTCGCGGTGAGAGTTAAGGCGCAGGACAGATGCGACACGTGCTGCCTCGTCACGGAGGTAAAACACCAACTCCCCTATACCGAACTGATAATGACAATATCTTAACAGAAAATCTCAGTCATCAAGCTCGGCCCGGACTATTCTATACATACATATAATAAAATTATAACTAAGCCGAATCTGTACATTAAATATTTTTTGGAAAATCTTATTGAAATAAACATTATTATCGATACAGAGGCCGAATCTATCATTTTTAGAATTTTTGTTCGTCTGTCTGTCTGTTACCGCATCACGGAAAAACCACTGGAAGAAAAAAATATCTAATTTCTGAGAAAAAATACAGAAAACTGCAATGTAAGAGTATACTAATATGTAAAAGCTAAGAATTTGGTTTTTGGTCATCTGAACGCGGGCGGAGCCGCGGGCAATGCTGGTTTTTATAAGGATACAAAATTTCTTAGTAAAACTTTTTATTTTAAAATACATATAAAAAAAAAAACAAAACAAAACATACCTTTATCCACTGAAACTTCAATAAACACTGGATCTTTTAAATTATCCACATCAATGATATTATCAAAATCGTTCTCTCCGTTACTACCATTTTCTCTATCTTGTACTATTTCTAAGTCACCATTTGTAGGTCTACTTTGTTTTATATGAAAATTTGTTATTATATCTTCTATTTCACCGTTGATTTCTAAGTTTATTGATTTGTCAGTTTCCAAGTCTCTGTTTATAGGTCGGATTTGCTTTATTTGGTAGTTTGTTATTATTTCTTCTATGTCCTTATTCGCTTCTGGATCTGATGTCGATATTATTGGTTCGGTTCTGAGGAATTTGATATTAAAAAAATATATATTATATAGGATGTTCCAAAATTCACGGTAAATGTTGTTAGATTCAATGATAATGATGATATTCTCCTGGCCGATTCCGGCCACGGCGGGCAATCTCCTTGAGACTAGCCAACTGCGCAGGAGATATTATAGTGCAGCGCGTGTGAGAGAGAGCGCAGACACAACGTGCACTCTCTATTCCTGTCACTCTCATACTCCGGTGGGACGACACGAGACACGACCGGTGAGAGTGTCGGCGCAGGACCGACGGCTTTACGTGCTCTCCGAGGCACGGGGGTGAAACACCGCCCACTTCCCAACTCCGGGCCGTTACTGATGCTTAATATACAGAAAGACTCAATAACTAAACTTGGCCCGACCCGGGACTCGAACCCAGAACCTCCGGGTGTGCAGACGTACATGCTAGCCACTACACCACCGAGGCAGTAAGTTAGATACAATATCACTACTGTTATATATGCGAAACTCTGTGTGTGTGTTTGTTACTTCTACACGCTAAAACGTCTGCACAACTGTTAGTAATAAAACTAGCGACTCACCCTCGCTCTTCAGGTTCGTCCTATAGGAACGTTTTAACGTTTAGTATAGATTTCTCAGAGATGAGATATTCTCAAGCAGTAAAAAGTATCCCATATATTGACCCTGATAACCAGCTATCATCATCATCTGTCCAGTGGTTTTCTCTTGATGCGTTCCCAGACAGATAAGACAGACAGACAGACAAGAATTTTAAAAACTATAGATTCGACCTCCGTATCGATAATAATGGCTATTTTAATAAGATTTTCCAAAAAAATATTTCATGTACAGATTCGACTCGGTTAGAATTTTATCATATGTATAGATTTGCCAAAAGGTAGCGCTAATTGTATATATTATTAATTATTATGAATACACTAACGACCTACCCTCGCCTACCAGCCTATATATTACAGATTATATATTATATATTAAAACTCATAGTCTATCTGTGTACATCCAAATCCGTCCAGCGGTTTTAATGTGACATTTTGTGTCACAAACCAACAAACATACATACATACACTTTTTTACATCTACAAGAGTAATGTTATGATATTATTAATGATTACTATTATTCACCTTTTCACAATACTGTCACCGTTTTGTCTATTTTCAACAATTTCTTGCACAACTTCTTCAATTCTATTCTTCGGTGATTCTTTTTCTTTATCTTTTTCAATTTCTTTTGCTGGAGTTTCATCATTTTTGGTTTCCTTTTCTGATTCATTTATAGTCTTAGGGATACTTGTCTGAAATATAACATTACATATCGACATCTTTACACGTATCTTCTTACTTCTAGGTGAGGAGTTACATTTAAAACATTATCAAATCATTCCATAGAGAATATGCGTGTGATTTAAATAAAGGTGAAATATTTTTTTTTCATTATCTTTATTGCTTCTGAATTAAGCCTGTATCAATTTTTTTTATGTAATTTATTTTTGATTAAGAAAATAATTATTAAAATGTGCAAATATAGATGGGAAGTTCAAAGTAGTTGAAACGCACGCCATTGGTCAGACCGAATGTGACGTCAGAGTATATCATAACAGCGCGCTGTTGTTTGGTGTTTGCGATTGGTACTAACAATCTAGACCTGTTCATTCGTTGATTGCAATGTTGTCATAGACTGTGACGTCGCACAGAGCACGCCAAAATGGTGGAAAATAGGTTTAAAGTATCCATATCTGTAGGATATTTTTATTTTTTTCTTTCACTTTTAAGCTAAATTTTAGTTTTTTGGAGCTGGAAATTGTTTTCCAATTATAAAGCAATGTCAGCTATTGTATAAAAAATAAGAAAAAAAAACACGCATATTTCCTACTGAATGACATTTTATAAAAGAAGAGAGCATATAGAGACAATAGTCGATATTCTATCCATCATTACACACTAAAGCTTTGAAAAAAATGATTATATATAGAAAGAATATCATTTACGAGTACATAATTGAAAATTTCTAAAAACTTACACAAAAATTGGCACTTAGATTATGTGTATAGAAAAAAATCTAAGCAAAAAAAAAATACTATCAATTAATAAAAAAAATAAAAATAATATAATTTTGGCACTATTTATAATAAAAACATTTTTTTTTGGCTCGACAAACAAAATACCTAAAAAGAAGTGCCTAAAAAGTCTTACCTCATCGAATATACTTGGAATTACTTTTGCTTTCAACCTCTTTTTACCACGAACAGTCTCATATTGCTCTTCTAAAAAATGCTTACTGCACACCACCGAGTGATTTGTCACTTTACAACTAGGTGTGAAAGTTTCCAGCCACTTTTTTCGCAATGTACGGCTATTTGGGACACTGTTGACAATTTTTTTTTAATTTACTTATTTTCTGTAAGCCTTTATAAGACCTACTATTTTCTGGTGTATTGATATATTATTCTTAAAGTTTAGCCAATGTTACTCATGTAAATTCCTAATGAAGATTCAACCAAAACTAGTCATTGTCTCTCCGTGAAAATGAGTGATTTTCTTGAAGTAAACATTGATCAATAAAGTACTAGATACACAATCAGCGACAAGAAATGTCCTCACAGAATGAGCGCTCATTTGAACATTTGAGCGCGCTTTTAATTTTTTTCTTGTGAATTAACAAAATAACAATTGTAAGCATTGCATTTAAGGTTCAATTTACATTGTTGTATATTTATTTCAACTAGAACAATCACCTAAACACAATTGGTGACAGTTTTAAGAGAACTTTTGCATGGGATTGTGTATCTACTACTTTTTTGATCGATGGTAGTAAAAGATATCCTAAATGTTGACACAGGTAATAAGTTATTACTACACAAAATCCGTCAGGTAACTTTTTACGTGAAACGCACACAAATATACAGACAAACAGACAAAAGTTTCAAAAAACAATATGCTTTTTGGTCCATATTCCATCCACAATGCCTAACAGTCATACTTTTAAAAACTATTTCATGTACAGATTATGCTATGTTAAAGTTAAAGAAAAAGAAAACATTTAATTATTACAATTGCATTTAAAACAAATAAAACGTGTGTGTACTTATGTATGTATGAAGTTATAGTTATAGCTCTTTGGTTGGTGGTCTAACAGAACAAAAGTAGCTAAAGAATTCAACCGGTATGTCACAACTCTCTGTTTGTAAAAGGTATGCAGCTAACTTCATCATGTCGCTATTTGGCTGTCGGTGTTCGCGCGCATCGTAAAATTTGACTCTCATATTTTTTTCCAAACGTGCCAAAAGAAGTATAACTTCAAAAAATATCTCATATATTTTTTTTGTCTAAGAATCAATCTGGTAAGATACGGCATATGAGTGACAAAACATATTAGTATACATTTAAAGTATGATCACTGTCAATAATAGAAAAAAGCTAAACTACAAATTGTATTAAAAGTCACTTTATGATAGACCATAGTACTGGAGCATTAACATCCTATCAAGAATATTTATATAACTAATATATGAATCATTAATTAACTTAAATCTGTAACTCTAAAAAAATAATAATGGAAAAAAAATATTTTATAAATGATAGAATTAGAATATTTGACATATTAAAAAAACCAAAAATCAAGCTAAATCTGTGAAAAATATCTGAAAAAATAGTTTGATTTTAGTTTTTGTATGTTTGTGGAATGATTTGGTCTTCTCAAGGGTATTTGTATGTAAGAAAATTATATTAATTCGTAAATATTTAGAAAAAAAAAAAGATTAAAAAAACATATTTAAGTCCTATTGAGTTTCATTATTCCAGTTCTAATCAGATTGTCATGACACGCAGCACAAATTTGTAATAATCAAATTATTACAAATTAGAAAGAATATTTGAATTAAAATTTATAAATGCTTGCTATGAAAGTTTTTTATTTACTCTGCCTTAAAGTGTTTTAAAATTATATATTATTTTTATATTAGATTACTTACTTAAAATATATTACATCTTTCGTTTGTATACAACCCTCTACGCAGCACACATTGACCATGATTTTTGAGCCATACAGCGAGCTATAAACATTAATGATATAAGTAATGTAGGTATATAAAATATATAAATTATCTGTTACATTAACATAATTAAATATTATTTTATAAATCTTTTCTATCAATCAATAATATACATGTATTTTGTGGGTTTAGAAACCTACTTTGAGTAGTGCTACAAATAGCATCAAAATTATTTATTTAAAAATAAAGCATTTCTTCTGCTATTGTTTCTATTAAATCAATTAAAATAAATAACTAAAAATATTTACTGAAAAAAAAAGCTTGGCTTACATAAACTAAGCGCATTATAAATATTAGAAAACTTAAAAATAATATATTTTAATATATTATTATAAGAATAAATACTTTTGTTGAAAAAATCTAATTTATTCTAATATCAACTAAAGCTGCGGCGCCTTTACATTCACTAATAACTTGTTAGGCATCCTTATTCTGGTCCATCTAAATCGCATCTCCTTCGTATTTACTTCTCGACTTTATTACGAGAGCAATAAGGTTCATTTTGAAATATCAAGCGTCGCTAAAACGCCGCGTTAATACGAAGCGATTTCCAGAATATGCCGACAAAATAATTATTTTCAATAGATTATTATAAGCTTGGAATATAAAATACATTCGTTTAAACTACAGTTTTAAGTCAGCTTTTGCCGACAGAACATATTTCGCGCGCAAAAACTTAGAAAAGAAGGTTAGAAATAACAAAAATATAATAAATATCTTACAGCAACTTCAAGACTCAAAGTAGCTCTCTCCGATCGTAATAACACTTATTACACTGATATTTTGGGTTACATTTCACTATAAATATAGATATAACGAGAAAACAATGAAAAACAAGCACGAAAAATATTTACTAATACTTCTTTTTTTATTGTCCACTTGACAAATGTTGTGTTGTACCGTTCACGTCGATTATATAGGATATAAAAGTTCCGGTTTTTATTTGTGCGGTTTTTTAATAAAAAATCTTTATATATATTATTTGATAATTAAAATTTATGTAAAATGTTTGTATTCTTATCTAGTATTCTAATATTATGATACAATTTTTGAACTTCACAATTTAGGTTTAATTGTAAAACATGCTTCGAATGCACTTGATCTATTTTGAATAGTTGAACTTGTAAGTTGTAGTCTTTTGTCTTGTAATGAGTCTTAATTAGAATGTTTAATATTTATGCATGATTAGAATATCAAATTTAGATTTGTAAAATAAGTGAAAGATTTTTAACGATGGAGTTTATATTTATTAAACTTTTAATATGTACATAAGTAGGTACGTAATCTAATAATAATATTTTATTGTGTTTTATGACTACCCTACAAACAAAGACAAAAAGTTGTATGTATGACGTACCTATGTATATTTTGACTTTTTATGAGAACCTAATTTTAATTAATTTTCTTAACAAATAATATCGATGAGGAAGCTAGATGATTCTTAGCAGTCTATTCGAGTTTCTACACGAAAAAGAAACGGCTGAATGTAATAAACGCCTGATTTATGAAATATGGTCAAACATTAAAAATGGTCTTTAACCATTTGTTAGTAGAAAAACTATATAAAAAAATGACTTTAAAAACTTAAGAATTTCTATACATTTTCTTCTAGTACTTATTATACTATTCTTTATTGCACTTATATATCAGATATAGAAATTAACATAAAGGCAATTTTACATTGATTCAGTAACTGACATCAGTCCATGCCAAGTCAATGCTGACCTGGCACTGCCATCGTGTAAATTAATTTCAAGTTAGTACAGTAGGTACAGTACATGGATTGGTACAGTACCTACTTGTGGCCCCTAGGATATATGCTGGTCAAAAATGATCCCTAGGTTTTACTGTTTCGGTAAAACTAATTTCAATATCATTTAGCATCATCAATGGTATCGGATGATTTTTATTTAATTTTTAAATTAATTTTAGTATGAATAATATGTAAATTGAAATTATTATTATTACTAAAATGGTACCTTGGTTAAAACTAAAAACTTTGCTATCAATATTTGGGCACAAAAACGATTTTTTTTTAACAAAACATTTATTTTTCAATATCTTATTTACAGAAAATTGGCAGTACAGAAACTTTTAACAGATTTTATTTCATGATTATGTAGGTACTGAAGTAACGACATATTTTATGGGGAATACATTGAGAAAATGTCTATTTACCAAATAAACATAAATAAATAGATTCTTAGTTAAGAAATTAATTAGATTGAGGCAGAGCACATCACTACCAAATTAACATTTTTTTTGATGTCAATGAGTTGTATATGATATAATATAAAGTCATTACGGCTTTAAAAAATATTTTTAATTAAATGCAGTCAAATTTAAGCACATAATATACAGAATTATACAATATACATAATCAGAGACTAAATTTAGTAGGTACAGTGTAGTACATTTATTTTTTCCCTGTAACTTAATTTTACAAACTGTTCCTCTATTTTAAACCTTATCTAGTAGGAAATACACATTATTCTAATAAATTAATTCTTCTCAGTACATTATTTAGGTTGCTTTTTTGATTATATGTTGGGCCAATATTTGAAACTATGAATATTCTAATTTCTAAAACATATTTTAGAGAAAAGTGTTTCTAATATCAAATCAAAATATACTTTATTCAAATGGAATTTTACAAGCACATTTGAATCGTCAATTTTACATTTTTAAATTTAAATTAAATGTCAGTGTATTCAGTCTGCAAGGAATTTACCATTGGCTCGGAAGGCAGTTCTGCTGAGAAAAGACATATGTATAATATCAATCTGAAAAATGCTTGTCTTGCTTGCTTGAGCAGTCACATTTTTTTTATACATATAAATTGTTTAAACAAATACACACATCAATTTTATTTATATGTATATAAACAATTTTTATTTAAGGATTCATATGTCAGTTCTGAGTCACCATTATTTCACTTCACTATATAAACACTTAAAACACTCTATCTTGATATCCCGAGTCCTGAGTAGCCTGAGTAGGTTTCGGCTGAGCCCCTGGTGGGTGGTGGTGATGCCTTAAATGACCAGGTCTTCTAGGTGGTGCCAGATATTCAAACATGCTCTGTGTGTGTTGTGCTAACATGTTCGCTAAGTCACATGGCATGGGGTCAGTCCAGAAGAAGTCGTGGTTAAGTGCGGTATCTGCATCAAACCTGACAACAAGAAGTAAATAAACAAATTAATTAATATGTTGGGACATTAACACTGCACCATCTAGTTCCATGGTAAGCTTGTGTTATGGATACCAGAAAGTCAATACACTACACATATATAACTTTAAATACATACATATTATAAATATAAACAAACACCCATGACTGGAGTACAGACATTCGTGCTCATCACACAAATGAATGCCCCCAGTGGAACTCGAACCCGAGACTGCTGGCACAGCAATATTGTCAAATTAATTAGTACTATTATTGGAATTTGGACTTATTATTATAAATAAGAAAGTTTATAAGTGTATATGTATATTTAATATTCTTTCAGACAGAAGAAAAGAGATAGATGCAGATGTTTTCGGTGACTGTTTCGCTTGCTCTATGATACTTCTTACATAAACCAGCAATAATCATTTGATTTATTTGACATGTCATTAATATTATAAATGCAAAAGTTTGGATAGATGTTTGTACTACGTTAATCACGCAAGAACGGCTGATTGGAATTGGATGAAATTTGGCACAAAGATAGATTATAGTCTGGAATAGCGCAAAGGTTACTTTTTATCCCGGAAAAATGTACGGTTCACGTGGGATAGGTTTGGTTTTGTTTTTCATTAGGGACAAACACTAGCAAATCACTCTCATTTGCTAGTGTAAATTAAAAGTGTTCCCTTGGATTTTTGTGATTTTTTACTTTACATAAAACATAGGACTAAGGTTTTGACATCTCAAAAGTTCAATTAGTTCTAACAAAGTATTATCAGACTTGTTTGTGCAATTTGTGCAAGAAATTTCATTAAAAACGCACCTCTTTGCAGGATCCAACTGTAATAGTTTATCAAGAAGGTCACAACCATAAGGATCTTTTACATACGGCTTTAACCTCTCCTGTAAAAGAAAAAAAAAACAAAAAAATGAAAGAAACGTTGGTTTAAATTAGTGTCCGACTGAAAATGGATTTTCAGCCCAAAACGAAAGAGAACTTCGGCTTTAGTCTTATTTTCCGCCAAAAACGGAAACGATTTAAACATTAAAAAATATCAATATTTTCACTGTACACTGAAATTTTGTTTTTTTTACACTTAGGAAGAAAAAGAGCAAGTGTAGGCTTTAAAAGAAATAAAACACGATAATTCCATTATATGATACAACATTTCATGTATTTCGTAGTGCGTGTAACCAAATCATAATTTTTTGTCCGAAAATGACCGAAAACGAAACTTAGGATAATAAATAATCTTACATTTTTATAGAAATAATCATAAATATACTCACATAATATGATCAATATTTTTGAATCTTTTTTTGTTCATCTTTTAGTTTACAACATTATCTTATCAGGTCATATATAAATATATTTAAATAAATAAGAAATGCGAACCTTGACTTTCCTCTTCTGACCTTTAGGCAATTCCATTTTATTATACAAATCTAGACTTTCAACTCCCGGCCAAACGTCTGGTGTACACGAGCCACAAAGCTGTGAAATTAGGATCAATTGTTGCTGTTCTGTGGGACCCTGCAAAACATTTAAAAAAACTATATTTATATATATTTATAGAAATTTAGTTTAAAATGAACTATCTTTTCGGATTTTCTCATGGATTTACTATTTATAAATATGTTGGGACATTGACACACTACATCCAGTTCCATGGTAAGTTACGAGGCCTGTGTTATGGATACCAGATAGTTGATCAATACACATAAGGCTTTTAAATACATACATATTATAAATAAATATAAACACCCATGACTGGAGTGCAAACATTCGTGCACATATGAATGACCCCAGCGGGACTCGAACCCGAGACCGCTGGCATAGTAAGTAGGGTCACTACAAACTGAGCCAAATTTGTCATATTTTGATTTTCATCTTTGGGTCTTTCAAACATGATGGTCACAAACGTTATTGATGATTCACAATCAGTCCCAAACTATAAGCAGATTTGTTTTCTGTCATTTTTATCGTGTCCAAGGAGCTCTTCAGCAGGAGACACTTCATCCAATTCAATATATTAAAATGTCAAATATTGCATAAATCTACAATGTATTAGTTAGGGATTTAGTTATTTTGGTATATCATTATATTTTTTTGGTGTTTTTTAAATGAATTACAATTTTTTTTTGTTTTTTATATTTTTCTTTAGCCTTATCTACACATACTGTAGTATACTCTTTTTTCATATTTTAACTTTTTGGTTAGGTTTGTTTACTTAAATGTTGTGTATATATTGGACAGCAAATTTAAAACAATATTGTAGCTTTAAATATGTTATCGTAATTTTTAACTTTTTTTTTCTGTTTCTGTATCTAAAGAAATAAAATAAAAATATATATTTTTTTTTTTTAACTAACTGCTTCATCTAATTGTCCATGGTAGCTTTTATGACAGCATATTATTAGCCCAAAATTCTTAATACTAGATTGGAACTGGAGAATTTGGTGGTTGTGTGTGTATTCTACCCAAATAACAAAGAGTTATGTTTAAATACTCATTATTTTTCATAGTGATCAATATAGATTATCTGTGATAAATGTAAAAATGTGTAAAGGGTTCTAAGAATAACCTGCATAATAGGTGATCGAGTCCACATCTCAGCCATGATGCAGCCTGCACCCCACATGTCCACAGGTGGTCCATAATTGCGATCACCTTAACAATAATTACCATCTTTATATAAATAGGCAAAGAAAAAACAGTTTAATATCTTCTCGTCTGTATATCAATTTTCTTGTATTTTGACCTAGACAGCTAGAGTAGCTTTGACAAAAAAAATCGTGAGCCAGCACCATCTTTAAAAAAATTTATTGGGTTCGAATTTTGACCACTGAGAGAACGCTAGTTAGTATAAATTAGTATTCCTAAGTCAATTTGTACCAATGATCTTATGAGATTTATTTTATCTTGCAAGGTATAATGTGCAAAAAATATTTGTAAGCAAAAAAAAACTAGTAATTTGTTTGTGCATTATGCAACAGTAGTTGCATGAAATAAAATAAGAAATCAACAAACTGATATATGTAATTTTTTTAAATCTCTTGAGTAAAAAATACCTTTGATACATTATATGTAAGTATGTTAGATCTGAAGTAAAATAATAATCTGAACAAATTGTTATTTTAATTTTTAATCTTCCTAATATTATAAATGTGAAAGTTTAGTTCTGTTCTGAACAGATCTGGATAAAATTTGACACAGAGATAGATTACAGTTTAAAATAGTTAAATAATTTAAAATAGGCTACTTTTTATCCAGGAAAAATTTACAGTTCCCATGGGATAGATTTCTTTCTGCTTTTCTAGAAGTGAACCCGAACGAATTGAGGCTGAGCCACTAGTGTATAATATATGTATACATTTAAAATAATCTTACCCAATAAAAGTTCTGGAGGTCTATACCATAATGTTACTACTCTATTAGTATATTTATTGGCTTGTCCAGATTTAGCAACACTAAAAGCTCGAGCCAATCCAAAGTCAGCCAGCTTCAAAATTCCATTCTTTGTTATTAACACATTTGCAGCCTTCATATCTCTATGGAGAATTTTATTGCTATGTATGTAGTATAATCCATTTAAAAGTTGTTGCATAACTTTTTTTATTTCACCTAAACTAAACTTCACATTAACATTAGACAGCAAACCAGCTAAATCGTGTTCACAAAAATCAAAAACTAAATAGAAAGTTGATCTGTACTTATTGTGTAATGTCGCCTTAGTCCTGCAAATTTCAATTAAATTAACAACATTTTCATGTTTTAATAACTGCAAAATTTTAATTTCTCGCAATGCTGTGATCGGGAAGCCCTCCTTTTCATTGTCCATCAGAACTTTCTTCATGGCAACAAATTTTTTGTTGCTATTCCTGGCACGAGCTTTGAACACTTCTCCGAAAGTTCCTTGACCAATTTTTGCAACCTTTTCGTATTTAGAAGATTCATCACAAAAGGGAAAATCGAAATCTTCTATATATTTCTCTTTTTCCCGCATATTGAGGATGGTGGAACTTGTGCTCAATACTGGCGCAGGCTCACGCGGAGCACTGACGCCTTGCATTTTGGAAGCAATTTTGATGGTTTTAAAATACTACTTCATAAAAAAACAGTTCTCACGTGTCTTTTTTTAAAAAGACATAAAAATCATTTAAGAAAATGAGAAAGTTGGAAAAATATTTTGGTACAAAGAAACCGGAAACGTCAACTGTTTTAAAACAAATGTAAATGTCAAATGTAATGCCAAAGTGCTAATCATTGTCAAAATAGAATGTAAAGTCAAAAATAGTCTGTAAATATTATTGCAACGTTAAAATTAACCATCGAAATAATATTTATTTATAAAATAAATATATTCACATAAAACACAAATCTGGGCTACAGATCTATCTATGTCTACTCTTTTTGAGTTTAAATTGTTGTGCTTTAAAATTATTTTAATAAGAAATTTAATATCAATTTTTGCATGATAATAATTTTTGTCAATATTGGCATTATTTCATTGTAAAAAATTTAATATTTACATATTTTAATATTACTTATCTGACTTTATATAACAATAGCTGTACGAACTGTTAATGTGAATGGCTAGCTTTATATTACAGTCAATCTAAATCTATTGTCAAATCGTGTCAGGCGTCAAGTGTAGATCTTTGATTATTTCGATATTTGTTTTCTCTCGCGTTATTTGCAAAACCCGGCTTTTACAATGTGAGTATTAAGTTTATTCTGAATCTTCATATATACCTTCTGATAATCCAATATACTTATAAAAGGCATACTAGAGGTAAGGAAATTGCACTTGCAATATCGATCCAGTTTTGGCGAAATAGGCCAAGCATTTTTCGCTCACCTTTCTTTTGTTATCGTACGTTGATACCGTCGTATTTAATATGTATGCAGTGATAGCACATACGCCTACTTTTCCATTTGGGAATTAAATATTGATTATATTTAAATTTCTGTACTTTATTATGATAATTAATTGATTTGTTTTTAATTTTTTAATAAAAATAAATAAGTACTTCTTTATTTATATTTCACTCAGACTAAGAAATACAGAAAGAGTGTGCATCTATATATAACTAAACATGAAGCCAACAATAATGTTTTAATATCCATACTGATATTATAAATATGAATGTGTGTTTGTTTGTTTGTCCTTCTTTCACGTCGAAACGGAGTGACGGATTGGGCTGATTTTTTGTGTGGAGATAGTTGGAGGGCTAGAGAGTGACGTAGGCTACTTTTTACTGCGGGAGATTATCTTATTCCTACAGGAAAACACATTATAATACAACCCAAAAAATATTTATGATCAGAATTACCTTTTTTCGAAGAATTTTTCGAAACTCATAAGAGATTAAAATATGGGATGAAAGTTTGTATGAAACTTACTTTTTTTAGAGTGTTTTTTAGGTGTTTTAGCGCAAGCGAAGCCACGGGTACTGCTAGTAGTATATACATAAATGACAATTTGTATACCGAGTGATGAGTAAATAAATTTTAATAAATTATAAAAATAACTAATGATTTTTATTATAATAAAGAAAAAAATAAGTAAAAAAAAGAAAACCAATGCAAAATAAAAAAGAATATATTATTTTTATTACTTATATTTGATTCTTAAAAATTGTATTTTAATTTAACTAATACAATATAAAATGTCTCTCAATCTTTAAAGAAAATAAACATCCTGTATGGCAAAATCTGGAATAGTAGCATAAACAGAAAATCACACTACTATTTTCGACTGATATTTATTTTAGCACACTCCAGATGGGCAGACTATATAATTAGTTAGTCTGAGGTATTTTATTAATTTGCTTAATATTATTATATATAAATATAATAAATATTATAATTACATTATGTATAATTTTGGTATTATTATGACATTTCTATTATCATAATCTAAAATAATGCAGTAATTTGTGTTAACTTTATAGGAAAATAATTATGACCTGGTACAAGTAGTAGGTAAATAAATCTGAGTCATTCATTGAATCATCAACAATTGCTTCTGAAGTTATTATGCAGATAATTAAATAATAATTATTGGCTATTGCTATAAATAAATAAAAAAATAATGCATATTTTCTTTGTAATTCCATACATATGTATAAGAAAACTGTTGTCATTGCAAAAGGCACTGACAACCGTGCAAAAAAGATCTACCTTTAAAATGCCTTTAGAAAATGATGTATTATTTGCATAAGATAGATAATTATTCATAACCCCTATTTTTTTCTAAAAAAAATTTACTCCTTATAACATCAGCTGTCTCCCAGTGAAAGTCCCATCAAATCAGTCCAGCCGTTTCGGAAATTAGCAGGAACAAACAGACAGATAGATAGATAATAATTTTATAAGTAGATTATTTTTTATAAGTACTGTATATATTTTTATATGCATTCAGTAAAAATCTGTTATTTTGACATTACAGACAGACACTTTAATTTTACTTATTTGTAATATATAAAAATTAAATACAATTAAATAATTACAGAGCAAAATGGCAAGTGAGAGCAGTTCAGCGGTCCTGGACCTAAATGATGCAGATGCTACCGACACAGAGGCACCGAGTGTTACAGATGATATCAATGATGGGGCACCCTTGATAATGGAACATGGATTCGATATAGCCGTTAAGGTATTTTTCTTATTTGGTCTCAAACACTTTTGACACTAGCTATCTGCATAGGAAGTGAATTGAATTAGAAGACACTACTGTGTTCTCTATTCCTGTCATTCCCGTGGGACGACAATTCTACACTCACGGTGAGATTAGACAAAGGACCAACTCGTCACGTGCTGTCCGAGGGGCTATAACACTGTAAACTTCCCAATTCCAGGCTGGTACTGAGAATTTCTAAGCAGAACAAATAAGTGAACTTGACTTAGTCCAGGACTGGAACCCACGACCTCCGCAACAGTACATGATAGCTACTACACCATCGAGACAATTAAATGGCTTTTATCTCAAATTACCAAAACAAAATGACCACTCAACCAATCTCATTATAATTTACGAACTGATTGCAGAACTACTGGGAAAAATTATTAATTAATTGACGACATGTTTAGCTCAGTTTGTAGTGACCCTACGTGCTGTGTCAGCGCATGTTAGGGTCGCGGGTTCGAGTCCCGCTGGGGCATTCTTTTGTGTGATGAGCACAAATGTTTGTTCTCCAGTTATGGGTATTTATATTTATAATATGTATGTGTTTAAAGTTACAATTCGTTTGGCTCACTATTACAAGGTTCTATGTTACAATTTTAGTAATTATTTAGTTATGAATGCTACAAGGTTCTATGTGTCATTAGCTACAGTTTTGCAAAAACAAACCACTAGATAGCGGCACTTTAACTACAAAATATTCAATTTTACATAGTTCTATGTTGTTTTTTTTACGATAACAAAATAACGAAGTTCTATGTAAAAATTACTAAACTTCATTAAAATTAACATAGAACCTTGTAATAGTAAGCCAACGAATTATATGTGTAGTGTATCAATTATCTGGTATCCATAACACAGGCCTCTAGCTTACCATGGAACAAGATGGTCCTGCGTATGAATGTCCCGACATATTTATTTCATTATTTATTAATTAATATTTATGTTAATGTGATTAGAGTTGTTATTTATTATGTATGTACTATGTATGTATGTATAATCAACATTAGTTGATTTAAACTCCAAACTAAATATTTCTTCATTGATTGATACACACTTGTTGTAAAAAAAATAATTTTAATAATATTAGGTAATTAAATACTAGCGGCTCACCCTCGCTTCACTCGGGTTCGCTTCTAGAACAAAAACAAATCTATCCCACGGGAACCGTACATTTTTCCGGGATAAGAAGTAGCCTATGTGTTATTCTAATGTATGATCTATATTATTGTAAAGTTTTAATTAAAATCCATTCAGTGGTTTTTGCGTGAAAGAATAACAAACATTCAGACATCCATACATCCTCACAAACTTTCGCATTTATAATATTAGTATAGATATATTTATTTTCAGGTCGATGCACCACTAAAACAATTGTCTACTTTAGAAACCTTTGTAACGTATCGTGTGCGGTGTGTTTGTGCGAGGTGGCCCACTCCACCTTGTGTGAGACGACGGTACAACCATTTTAAGGTATGATAAATGTTAAAATCATGGGATTTCTAATTAATATTTATTTATTAAAACAATTACTATCTATAAATATTAATAAATAAAATTTAAGTGTCCGTTTGTAATGTCAGATTAACAGTTTTTGTCATGTCATGTCAAGTTATGAAAGTATATACGGTACTTATAAGAAAAAAAAAACTTTTTTTTTGTCTATCTGCCAATGAAAGTCCCGTCAAAATCAGTTCAGCCGTTTTGGAGATTAGCTGGAACAAGTAGACGGACAAAATTTTATAAATTGTGTTTTTCTTATAAGTACCATATATGTACAATTTTTATGCATTCAGTAAAAAGCTGTTATTTTGACATCACACACTATTTGACATTGACATCACACTACAATTTTATTTATCTGTATAGATTTTCCCCAAATTCCCGTAATATGTAAATCTAAATAACTATTTTATTTAATCCTAGCGACTTACGGCCGCTTCGCTCGCATGCGTCCCTAAGTTTGAATGGTTTAAGAACTCAACAGACATACGTCCAACGAAAAAATCTTTTTATTGTGCCAGGAACCTTCGCAAGGGTATACAGAATAGCCCACCAGAGTTTCACCACAATCGGATCAATGGCTTAGAAACGCATACCAGACAAACATACGAACATTCGTTTTTATTTGTATAGAAGACTAGCGACTCACTCTCGCTTCGCTTCGGTCTCGTCCCGTAGACAAAAACAAATCTATCCCACGGAAAAAGTACATTTTCCGGGATGAAATATAGCCTATAGCCTCCCTCAATATACGGACTATCTAATGCAAAAAGAATTTTTCAAATCAGATTAGTAGTTCCTGAGATTAGCGCGTTCAAACAAACAAACTTTACCTCTTTATAATATTAGTATAGAAATATAGATTTGTAACCAACTACATTAAAAAAAAACTATACAAATATTATAAAGAGGTAAGGTTTGTGAGTTTGTGACGTTGTAGGGGGTGATCTCTGGATCTACTGAACCGATTTAGATGAAATTTGGTAAGAAGATAATTTGAGACACTTGGAAGGACATTGGATACTTTTAATGCTGAAAATCGTCCCTTAAGGGGGTGAGAATGGGGATGAAAGTTTGTATTGGGGAACAATATTTATATTTTTGTCGTTCAAACAGCTCCTCCACAAACGTCTGTCGGCGTCACACCCGTGGGTTGCGGCGCCTCCCCTACCACCGCTCCACTCGGCTCGACAACAGCTCGACAGATACTCGCCCTCCTTCGTCGCTATCAGGTGTTTGGCTTTGCACTCTTTTTTGGGTGAGTTCAAAGTGAGTTTTTTCTTTGTATCGAGAAATTGTAGTAATGTTTAATATTTTGTATATTTTCTTTTGTTTGTGGGTATACAACAAAGGATTATTTTTTTATTACTTATGCTGGAAATGATCAGCACATGAGCATATTAGAAGTGCAAGACCCGGGATTTGAACCTGCTTCACTCGATTATCATTAGCTCAGTTTATTTAAAATTATAAATTGCAAGTGTGCATCGGGCCTTGTGAATTAAAAATAAACTTTTTTTTTTCTAGATCGTGTGGCAAAACATCCCATTCTAACCCACAGTGATGACTTTAGACTATTTTTGACGACACCCGATGAAGATCTAGATAAAGTATACTTATTATTTTTAATCATACGTATAATAAAATTATAATTAAGCCGAAACATTAGATATTTTTTGGAAAATCTTATTGAAATAAACATTATTATCGATACAGAGGCCGAATCTATAGTTTTTAGAATTTTTGTCTGTTACCGCATCACAGCAAAACCACTGGATGGATTTTGATGAAATTTGGTATGGCGATAGCTGGTTATCCGGGTCAAAATATAGGATACTCTTTACCGCGGGAAAATGTCTAATTTTTGAGAAAAAATACAAAAACTGCATTGTAAGAGTAAACTAATATGTAAAACCTAAGAATTTGGTTTTTAGTCACTTGAACGCGGGCGGAGCCGCGGGCACTGCTAGTCTACATATATGTATTGGAATCCTAGTAATATTATAAATGCGAAAGTTTGTATGGATGTCTGTATATATAGATGAATGGATATTTGTTTGAACTCACTAATCAGAATAACACATAGGCTACCTTTTATGCCGGAAAAATTTACGGTTCCCGTGGGATAGATTTGTTTTTGTTTTTCTAGAGTTAGTTAAAAATATGTGTACTGTAATATATATCGAAAATATTTTTTCATATAAAATCATATAAAAAGCGTACAGGTTCATATGATATCATTTTTTATTAAATTTTATTACAAAAAAAAGTGCAACTGGAAATAAATAAGACGTTTTATAAACATTTAAAAATATCAATTTTAGGTATTCAAGAGTGAAAATAGTGCGCTTAATCTATGGGGTCTGAGTAACCCATTCTACGGTGGAGGTGAAGCGAAACCAGCTAACGGGGCCAGGTAAATAGTTCAAAGCAGGGCTCAGAACCGGTTAAAAAAACGGTTTATTTAGGTAATGTAATGATTAATTCATCGCTCATTCTAAAGAAAAACCGGTTTTTTTTTCATTAACCGGTTTTAACCGGTTAATGAAAACAGTTTAGTAAACCAAAATAATAATGGTTAACGATTATTCTTGGAGAAAGGTTGGATTTCCGTTTCGATATATTGAACATAAATTCATCAAAAACCGTTCTCCAGGATTTAACCGATTTAAAAAACGTAACTTAAACCTTAAACCAAAATGCCTTTCGGTTTGGGGTCAATGATCAAAACTGGTTAAAAAATTGAACGGATTTCCGAGCCCTGGTTCAAAGTAAAATATTATTATTATTATATATATCTATTTATTATTTTTGTCTACACAGAGATATCATCGTCTCAGTGACCAATTTACCGAAAGAGTTTTTAATAAAGAATGATTGACTTTTAATTTTTTAATGTCAATTTTATTGGTATTAAACACACATTTTATTTTAAAAAAGCCAAAAAAGGCATTTTATCTCCATATGGATGTTGATGATTTTTTTATCGTCTATGGTTCCAGAGTAAAAGATCCAGAATTTAGCTCAGCGGCGGATTATCTACAGTCGCTACAACACAAGTTGACCACCCTCTGCACTCTCACCACTAAACTGTATAAGGGTTCGGTGTCACTTAGCGGCGAATTGATGGGGTGAGTTTATTATATAGGTTGATTCGTCTTACAAACTTTTATCCCCATTTTCACTCCCTTAAGGGATGATTTGCGGAATAAAAAGTATGCTATGTCCTTCCCAGGGTCTCAAATTATCTTCTTACCAAACTTGATCTAAATCGGTTCAGTAGATCCATAGATTACCCCCTATAACCTCACAAACTCACAGACTTTACCTCTTCATAATAGTACCTGGGCTACGAGCTTCGCCTGGAGTTTTTGGCCAAAAACATTAAAAAAAACTAATAATTTGAATATATACAAAAAAAAATAAAAGTAAAAACTTTGTATCCGACCGGGATACGAACCCAGACACCTGTGGTTGTTAAACTTGCGCCTTGGCCGCTTGACCACGATGCTTATGTCCTAGCGTGCGAATTAGCGACCATATTTTGCGTGGAATAATGCGAAACAAAACCGCATTAAAACTCGAAACACGCGTTTTCTCAAACAAAACTAATCTAGAGCGATCAATCGCCCCCGAAACCTCCTGTATTCTAAATTTCATGAAAATCGTTGGAGTCGTTTCCGCTCGCGTTCAGATAACCAAAAACCAAATTCTTAGGTTTTACATATTAGCAAACTCTTACATTGCAGTTTTTGTATTTTTTTTCAAAAAGAGATATTTTCCCGCGGTAAAAAGTATGATCCTATATGTTGACCTGGATAACCAGCTATCACCATACCAAATTTCATCAAAATCCCTCCAGTGGTTTTTTTGTAATGCGGTAACAGAATGACAGACCGACAAAAATTCTAAAAGCTATAGATTCGGCCTCTGCATCGATAATAATGTCTATTTCAATAAGATTTTCCAAAAAATATTTAATGTACAGATTCGGTTTAGTTACAATTTTATTATATGTATATATTATATACAAGAATTGCTCGTTTAAATATATTAGATTAGTATAGATTGTGTAAGATGTCGACGGTATATGTATGCGTGCAGCATGCGGCGCGCGTGCTCGGCGTGGGCGGTGCAGGCGGGCGGGCGCGCGGGCGCGGCGGCGGGCGCGGCGGCGGGCGCGCTGGGCGCGGGCGCGGGCGCCGCCGCCGCCGCGCGCGCCGCGCCCGCGCGCCGCCACCGCGCCGCGCTGCCGCTGCTGGCCGCCTACTGCGACGCGCAGGCCGACAAGATACGCGCGAGGGACGCGCTCCATGGTGAGTCATATCTTAGAAATAATATGAATTATCGTCAAACATTTCATTTCTATTTTCATTTATTGAAGAATTTTTGACAGTGACTGATATTGGTGATCGTGATTTTGATTTTTTGTGCCTAAATGTGTTTAATTTTGCACTAATGGTTGTTGGAATAGTAAACATAAAATATTTAATTGTAATTTTATATATGAATAGTTCCAACCTCTTTGTTAACTTGTGTGCCTACTATTTATTTTTCTATTTAAATTTGTCATGTTCCATGTCACTGTAAAAAGTATTACCGGGCAATAAACGTTGTTAAACTTTCTCTTTTATTATAATTGATTTCCCACAATGGTATATTTGGTTGCTTTTCAAATTTCTCTTGTTTTTGACCAACTCTTTCTATTTTTGATCTATTTTGACCATTTTCGGTACTTAAGTGACTTTGACTATTTTATGTAAATAGGTATGTAAATGAGAGACTTTGACCACTTTTTATTTTTCATCGATTTTGACCACTTTTTATTTTGGATCGATTTTGACCACTTTTGGCGAAGAGTGCTTTGCGTGGTGAGTGTTGGTTTTGATGAACTAAAATTGATCGCAATCAATATGAATGAATGGTTATTATTGTATTTTTAAGTGTGAGTGCTAGTTCTCTTATGCCGTTTGACCGATTTTGTAAAAGAAACATAGAAAATGCTAAATAATTTTCATAAACATATTTTTAAAAATAAAATGCGACGACATTGATAAAATAGCCATCGTTAATAAAAATGTATGAATGAACGTTGTTTGTTACTCAATCGCACCTAAATGGCAGAACGGATCTGCATAAAACTTGGCACAGAGATATAGTGTGGAATAGCACGTAGACTTTTGATCCCGGAAAAATGTACGGTTCCCGTGGGATAGATTTGCTTTCGTTTTTCTAGAGGCGGAACCGAAAGAAGCTAGGGTTCAGGGTGAGCCGCTAGTTTTAAAACAAAAGTGAGCTTTTTGAGTTGTAATAGTAATTAAGTGAAATATGTCACGTGGTCAGAAATGTCATTGCCATTATTATTATTTTTTTGTTACAGCCGTTTATGTATCTGGCAACACTCCAGCGGATGATGTACACAACAGGTGAATAACAAAATTATATGTATTTTCTAGTTTAAAAAAAAAATTATCGTATTAAAAATCCACGTCTCATGGTGGAAAAAACTTTGTTAGTTCGTTAAGAAATAACATATGAAATGAATTCAAAACCGGCTTCATGTTAATATTTTTTTAGTTTTTTTTTAAAGTAGTATATATATAATTCACCGCCACGTGTTTAGCCATCGATCAAAAAAGTATATACTAGATACACAATCCCATGCAAAAGTTCTCTTAAAACTGTCACCAATTGTGTTTAGGTAATTGTTCTAGTTGAAATAAATATACAACAATGTTAATTGAACCTTAAATGCAATGCTTAAAGTTGTTTTCGCGCGCTCAAATGTTCAAATGAGCGCTCATTCGGTGAGGACATTTTTTGTCGCTGATTGTGTATCTATTACTTTTTTGATCTATGTGGTTAGCTTTAAAATTTGTCTTTCGAGAACTTGCTAGGTTCTCTCAGACATGCAGGTTTCCTCACGATGTTTTCCTTCACCGTATTAACAAGTGGATCGTCTCAGTGCTTATTTGTCCAAACAACTGATTCACAGAAAGAGTTTTTTCATACAGAATTATTGATTCTTAAAATTCAATTCTATTGGTATTAAATACATATTTTACTTTAAAAAAGATGATAATATATATTTTATCTATATATCTATACATATTTTATAATTGTAACTAAGCCAAATCTGTACATTAAATATTTTTTGGAAAATCTTATTGAAATAAACATTATTTATTATTATCGATACAGAGGCCGTTTTTAGAATTTTTGTCTATCTGTCTGTCTGTTATCACAGAAAAACCACTGGAGGGATTTTGATGAAATTTGGTATGGTGATAGCTGGTTATCCGGGTCAACATATAGGATACCTTCTACTACGGGAAAACATCTCACTGAGTATTCTATACAAAACGTTAACATGTAACTAGGGACGAACCCGAGCGGAGCGAAGGTCGCTAGTGTATGTATATGAATCTTAGAAATGAAGCTGTGTTTTAAAAACATATTATATATATATTAAAATATAGGAAAAACTCTCTACTGTAAAGTACAACAAGTATTGGTTGTTTGAACAAATAAGCACCGAAGTGACTATATGGTAATTTTGTTGAAAATGATTCGTACATGAAATTATCAGTAGTGCGAGTCCCAGTATATAACCAGATAAATACAATGTTTTTATTTTTTTTTTATTTTAGGCTAGAGCAAGCATCAGAAGCCTTACGGTCAGAACTGTCCGATTGGATACCAAAAACTCGTTCTGAAATTAAAGCTCTGTTACTAGATATAGCGAACAGACAAGTAAACATACACACACAAACACTCATGGGCTGGGAGAATGCCCTGAAACTGTCAACTGATGATATATCGCAAATGTTCAAAACCGTATCGAAAACGGCCGTTCAAAATCTTTCGCCGTCCAAATGCAGAACGCTAACAACCCCCAATGAAACCGACAGAGATATAGACGATATGGACAATTACAGCAATTACTCTGATATACAGGATGTTAAAAATGATGGGTTTGTCGAAAACAACGATTTAGATATACAAATGTTCAAAGATGAACAAATCAGTGATATGCAGGAGCTCAAAGATGAACGTAACAGTGATATACAGGGGTTCAAGGATGAACAGTACAGTGATATACAAGGGTTCAAAGATGATAATACAGATATACAGGGTTCAGATGAATCCGAGAATATAACACAGGGTGTTACAAATGGATGTGAAAAATTGGACTCCATAAAAGAAGATAGTTCAAATTCAAAATCCGATAAATTTTCTGATCCCTTACAAGAGTTCTCTGAAGTGGACCTTTCGTGATTATGTGATACATTATTTTGTAATGTTTTAAAGGACTTGTGAACGATCAAAATTAAGTTTTTTTTAAATATATATATATTTATTAGTTGTTTTGGTGTCTTTTGGTTGAGTGAGTCCATAATATGTGGTAGGGAATTGGACAGTTTTTAAAGAAAAAGTGTGAAGTTCGCGTAAAAACTTAAATGTGCTATGAAGTTAGTCGCAAGTTACCACTGTGGGTAGTGCTATAATATGTATCTCCCATATAAGCATGGCCCAATAGAAATTTTTTCGTGGTTTTTCGTAAATGTGGCCAAAAAAAGGTAAGGCAAAATAGATTATCTTTTCGGGCTTTTTCCCGTCTCTCTCATGTTCATGATTGCTGTAAACTGTAAATTATTCGAAACGTCGGAAACCAAAAATCAACATAAATCCATGAAAAAATCCGGAAAGATTATTTTATTTAAAATGTCAAATATTCGCGTAAATCTAAGAAAGGCTTATAAGAGGCTTTCGCTCCTTTATCAAGGGGACTTTAAGTTTTAAATGTGTATGAAAGTATTAAGAATGCTTATGAATCAAAATGACATGCTTTTCGTTGGTAAATGCATCACTTCGGAACGCCTAGACTTATTGTGGGTAATTGTTTTTGGGAAAAATGGAAAAGTTTTCGGGAAATTTAGGAAATTGAAAGTGCCGCTTTTCATACTTTTTTTTTAATATTGAAATTTGGACTAAAAAGTGTCGGTCGAGACAACTAGTCTATACATATATGTAATAAAATCCTGAGTCGAATCGGTACATTAAATATTTTTTGGAAAATCTTATTGAAATAGTCATTATTATCGATACAGAGGCCGAATCTATAGTTTTTTGAATTTTTGTCTGTCTGTCTGTCTGGGAACGCATCACGGGAAAACCACTGGACAGTTTTGATGAAATTTAGCATGATGATTGCTGGTTAATATCTGTGTCAATAATATATAGGATACTTTTTACTACGGAAAAATATCTCATCTCTGAGAAATCTATACTAGACGTTAAAACGTACCTAGGGGCGACCCCGAGCGGAGCGAGGGTGAGTCGCTAGCTTATAATATAAATATATAACGCAATAAAAATTTCGTATTGCAGTACCTGAGAGTACCTGAGTAATTTCAAGAGGACATTTAAATTTTACGCGAACTCTGTGTAATATTGAGAGTTTAGTATACATTTTTTTTTTATTAATAGTCACGTAAATTTGCTATCTTAGTTTATGATAGTGCAGTAAATGAAGCCAAATGAAACTGTCAATGTCATGTAGAGAATGTTAAACTAATAAAATTATTTATTTTTTAATTTTTAATAATTTAAAATTAATTATTATTTATTATACTATTTTTATTATACTTATGTTAATTTTTCTTAAGTAAAAAAAATTAATAGAATGAAGTCAGCATAATTGTTTATTTTTATTTTTATTGTACATACTGCAGGTATGGTATTTAAAAAATATATTTATAAAAGAATTTCAAATGTTAATCACTATTGTATTGCATGCTCCGCCTATCTTGTACTTTCTAGGTGTAGAGTGTATCGATCAAAAAAGTACTAGATACACAGTCCCATGCAAAAATTCTCTTATAACTGTCACCAATTATGTTTAGGTAATTGTTCTAGTTGAATTAAATATACAACAATGTAATTTGAACCTTAAATGCAATGCTTAAATTTGTTTTCGCGCGCTCAAATGTACAAATGAGCGCTCATTCGGTGAGGACATTTTTTGTTGCTGATTGTGTATCTAATACTTTTTTTAACGATTTAGGGGTGGCATTAAAACAATTAATTTGTACTTAATACAACTATTAAAAAAAAATCAATTGTTATTAAAAAATATAATAATATACCAATATTTTTTATCCGAACAATACGTAATAAAGTATCTCAGGGAAAAATTAAGTTATAATATCAAATCAAAATATTTTATTCAGCATTATATTATTACAATTTTTTTACTGAACGTCATGAGTCTACTACCAGTTCGGAAAGAAGAAGCCTCAGACCTGAGAAGAACTGGCTGAATAAATTAGGGCCTTCCTCTTGTTTCACTTGGGTGCCTAACAATAACAAACAAAATTCAACGGCCATTTTGTTCTTTCTCCAGAGTTATGATGATTTAAGACAGTAAACACATTTTTATCGTAATAAAAAATTTATTAACCTATAGCAATCGGCGGTAATGTAGCTTTTTATTAGTGTAAATATTTTCAAAATCGGTTCAGCAGTTTCAGAGATTATCCGCTACATACAAACTTACAAATTTTAACTTCTTTCTAATATTATGTCGTCTCAGTTGTTTTTTTGTCCAAACGACCAATTTCACGAAAAAATTTTTTTTAATACAGAATTATTGACATTTAAATGTCATTTATTTTACTTTAAATAAGCTAAAAAAATGTATTTTATCTATATATGTATATAAATATTAGAAATTAAGCTTTGTTTTTAAAGTAGAGGGAAAAAGGCAAACACAAAAACCAACAATCTTAGGTGGTTTGAACAAATAAGCACTGAGTTGATGATTACTGTAGATTTAGCCAGAGCAAAATATTATTTAATCTTCCTTTTTAGGACACTTCTCCGTTGAGCATTGATTTTTATGGTGTTTCTACATCATTCAAAAAAGTACTAGATACACAATCCCATGCAAAAGTTCTCTCAAAACTGTCACCAATTGTGTTTAGGTAATTATTAGAGTTGAAAAAAAAAACACAATAATGAAAATTGAACCTTGAATGCAATGCTTAAAGTTGTTTTCACAAAAAAAATAATTAAAAGCGCGTTCAAATGTTGAAATGAGCGCTCATTCGATGAGGACATTTTTTTGTCGCTGGTTGTGTATATAGAGTACTTTTTTGATCGATGTTTTTCTATATCCACTGTTTGGAAGGATATATTTTTTGTTATGATTTTGTAAGTCGATTTTCTTTTCTTTTTTTTTTAAACTACAATAAACATATTTTATTCTCTTTTTTTAAATTAAGTTTTGATAGATACATAGATATGGATGCGTACGTTATTTAAAAAAGTTGATAAAAAATAATTTACAGTGACATCTACTCTTTATTCTTCATTATATTGTTATTTTATTTGAGATTTTTTTTATTGATATTTATATGGTTTATATTTTTTTTTAATCCCAGTTTGTTTTAGATTTGCCTATGTAAATAAAGTTGTAATATAAATAATTATAATAATTTGTTTGTATGTAAAGATTTCAGAGCTTATAGTTACTCTAAAACTTTGTGGTGTTTTTAATGTGTGGATTCGAACCTGGTACCCTCTGTTGTATACCTTGTTTATTAAAATAAGACTTTTGACAATTATTTTTTTTGACTATAATTTACTACAAAAAACATATTAATATGTATAAAAATAAAACTGTCTGTTGCTTTTTCACGCTCAAATCACTGATCAGATTTTGATGAAATTTGCCATGGACATAATTTGCCATGGAATAAAATATCTTTTTAAATATCACAATTTTATTTAGTATTAACAGTACCCGCGGCTTCGCCCGCGTTCAAACTTCACAGGATCACCGCTAATCTGAAGATTGCCTGAAAAATTCATCTAAATCGCTCCAGCCGTTTTAGAGTCCATAGGGAACATACAAACACACATCGATTTTTATATATATAGAAGATATACAACCACCTATTGGTAAATTTTATGATTAATAGTACCTACCCTGTGTTACTCTAGATCAGGGTTTTCCAACCTTTCTTGTCTTGAGCCTCCCAGATTATTTAAAGATATTTTAATGTCCCCTTTATTTTTTTAATATATTAAAACATTATTTTAACAATTTTTATTTATTTTAATTATACAAAATAATAAGTTATACAAAATAAACTCTACGCTCTAGAAGACCTTGTTTGGCAATTCCTTCTGTCGATCACATCAGTGTAGGTACTTAATTTGAGACGGACTAACAAACATACATACATAATCATACAAACTTATATTTATAATGCTAGGTGTGATGTCAAAAGTCTTCTTCTAAATGAACAAATAATTAATAAATAATGTTTAGTACTCAGACTAAAGAATTATATAGATGGAATCCGCCAGAATAAATGTCAAAGTCAAAAATAGTAGTGTGATTTGCTGTTTATGCTACTATTCTAGATTTTGCCATACAGATCGTTTACTTTCTTTAAAGAATAATAATAATAGTTAAATTATTAATTAATATACATTTTTTTAGAATAAAATATGAATAATAAATATAATACTATATTTTTTTATGTTTTTTAAGCATTAATTTCACCATAGCATATTACCTTTTTTTCTTCTATACATATAATAAAATTGTAACTAAGCCAAATCTGTACATTAAATATTTTTTTGGGAAATCTTATTGAAATAGACATTATTATCGATACAGAGGCCGAATCTATAGTTTTTAGAATTTTTGTCTGTCTGTCTGTTACCGCATCACGTCAAACCGCTGGAGGGATTTTGATGAAATTTGGTATGATGATAGCTGGTTATCCGGGTCAACATATAGGATACTTTTTCCCGCGGGAAAATATCTCATTTCAGATTTATATATAATAAAATCTGTTAGCTATTTTTATTTATTAACACTTATTTACTTATCACTCGGTATACAAATTGACATTTGTATACTATTTTATACCATTATTGTTTAGCTTCATGTTTAGTTCTATGACACTCTGTCTGTATTATTCCTTAGTCTGAGAGCGTTTCGTATAGTATAATTTCTAATCTGTATTATATTGTATATTTATTTAGATTGAAGTTCGTAATTTTGAACCAAATTCACTTGTGTCAAATGTTAAATAAGTAAGTACTTTAAATAAATTTAATGGACGATCTCTAAGTAAATGGTCGTAAACGGTTTGATATTTTTATTTTTTATTTGTGTGTGTTTTTTTTATTGTATGGGTTTAACCCTAGTGTTGAATGCATAAAATTATTTTTATTTACATTGTACTTTTACCATATACCACTTGGACCCGAGGATCCGGATGGCAGAAGCTGTGAGTTTTTTTGGGTGGCAACACAAGGGTTAAAAATTATATGTCATAAAATTTATATATATCTGCTTCGCTAATATGGATCGTAGTGTTAGATAGCATTCTCTTAAATAGCTTCCTCATATAGGCTATGAAATATATGATTTTTTAAAGTCAAAAAAATATCTACCCCCTAAGAAAGATAATTGTAAATTAACTTATGCAGGTATACGTTTGAGAGATACTAGCAAGTTCTCGATCGCACTTGGCCAGCGTGGTGGCAGGTGGACTATGGCTTGATCCCCCTCGTATTGAAGGGAGGCCCACGCCCAGCAATGGGACGTTGAAAAAGGGCTCAATATAAAAAAAGAAAAAGGGCTGGTTACTTTTATATGTATGCATTTGTATTTATTATACATTTATACATAATTTTTTTTTTCTTTACATAAAAAATATTTTGTATGTATTATCTTTACTTAGGGACCGTCGGTGTAGTGTTTTATTATGTAGCAAAGCTGTGACTGACGGACGTATAATATATTATGTATATAAGAAATGGCGGTTCATAGATGTAAATTTTGCAATTTTAACACATATCTTTATTAATAACGATAAATTTTCTGTAATTTATAGTAGTTTTAATTGTAATTTTACCATTTAATATGTAAGGTTTTAGTTTTGAAGTTTTAAAATAATTAAAAACGCGCCGAAATTTTCTATCTGTCATCTGTCAAAATATTAATACATAGTGATGCGCAACGATATTATCGGTAAGTTTGTAAATTTTGTTTGGAATTATAATATTTTATTATTTGAGATATATTGTTCTTGCATATTCATTTTTCTTAACAATATTCAATGTTATCCCAAAAGTCAGTGTACTTACTATTGTAACTCATAACTATGATGATGTGTTTACTTTGCGTAGGTATACACTAGCGTGTTGTAATATTATGATATTATTGGTATTCTTAAACATTTTTTTTAGTAATATGATTATGTTTTCCCACCTGTGTGTATCCACGATCGACTAAAATTACTTTTTTTATTAACCTCCTTTAAAAAGGAGGTTGGAATTGGAGTATATTCTTCTTGTCAATGTTAGTCGATATCTTCGTTAATCGTGAACCGATTTTCATTCTTTTATTCATTGAGTAAATTTCACCTCGAGGGTCTTAAAAAATTTGAAGAATTTACTCAAAGTATGTTTATGGATGCATCATATTTTTTTTTAAATAATCTATATACGTATATTTGAAACTTGCGAAACTCAATTGTGTTCTGAAGACTTAAAAAGGGTTTATTAAAATCGCGACTTGAGTGATGTACGCTATCGATAGTAAAGTTCTAAAAACTATCGATTTAACTCAATTCTTACCTAACTAAAAAATATATATATATGTAAATCTTCAACATTTACCCCTTACAATTTAACTGTATGTATAGATAATGTCAATCATGTTTTATTTTATGTTTTTCCCCTTGTTGTGAAATGCTTCGTCCATTTAAATTTATTTATTTCTAAATGTTACAGAATTGTGTAAAATTATTTGTATATAATATGTTTATGTACATAATTAAAGTATCGAAATATTATTTTGTTGTTTCATTGTACTATTGATTCCACTGAATGTCATATACCTATTGAATTTAAATGAAAATAATTATTTAATATTTAGTCATTTTAAAATTTATCAAGAGACATGGGGTTTCATCAAGAACTAAGGAAAATTGGTACAAATAAATTTTATTACATGTCGTTATATGTAAATATTTATTTTTGAAGGTTGTCTAAAATTAATTAACAATAAAAAATAAATCCCAAAAAGTTGTTTGTTGTTGTACGATACATCGGGAGTGTGGCGGAAGTAAGAGTCAAATTTATTATTGATTGCGCTGCGTGTTAACGTCTTAACATATTTATATTTTGACTAGCATTGCCCGCGGCCACGCCCGCGTTCAGATGACCTAAAATCAAATTCTTATGTTTTACATATTAGTATACTCTTACATTGCAGTTTTTGTATTTTTTCTCAGAAATTAGATATTTTCCCGCGGTAAAAAGTATCTTATATGTTACCCCGGATAACCAACTATCATCATATCAAATTTCATCAAAATCCCTCCAGTGGTTTTTCTGTGATGCGGTAACAGACAGACAGACAAAAATTCTAAAAAATATAGATTCGGTCTCTGTATCGATAATAATGTCTATTTCAATGAGACTCCAAAAAATATTTAATGTACAGATTAGCCTTAGTTACAATTTTATTATATGTATAGATTTGTTTTAATGTAATTGCGATATCTGCCACAGCGCCAAAAGAAGTTTTACTTCAACCGCGCGTAACGTACTCATTTTTTTTTATTGGTTTTGTCTATGGCTATAGAATTTTTTACTTTTTTATTCCAAAGCTCAAATCGATGTTAGTTTGCCTTCAAAACCTAAAAATAGTAAATAAAACTATAATTTATGTAAAATCACATTTATTTGTGCCTATTTAATTCTGGACGTTTAAACACTATATTTAAAATTAACATAAATAATTAAAATTTGGAGTCGCCCGAAACAATAATTCGAAGGAAGACTTTAATGGAGATCATATAAAAATAAAATTAATTTAATTGACTATTCTATATAATTAAAAAATAATGCATATTTTGTAATATATAATATAGATCTAATTTAATGTTTAGACACTAAAAAATAAATACTGTATTTTTTCAATGTTGTTTATTAAAAATATATTTGTAAAGAACAAACTTTGTATTATGGACAGATGTTTTGGAACGCTGACGTTGAATAAGGTTTTTATTCTATTAACTAAATTATTTATTGCTAATATATAAATATCTCGTGTCACGGTGTTTGTGGTCGTACTCCTCCGGAACGGTTCAACCGATTTTAATGACATTTTTTTGCATATTTGGTAGGTATGAGAGGTCGTAAAGTATTTTTAAGCCTCCTACCCCCACCCCCCTTTTTTAAGTAAATAGGGGCCAACACCGAGCGTAACAAGGATGAGTTGCTAATGTATAATAATATTTTTTTATATGTGTTATCTATACAAAGCATCTAATACAAAAAAAAGGACAACATCTATGACATTATCTGTTATATAATCTGTATTTCAAAATTAATTTAGACAAAACTCTATGGTTACATAGAAAGATTTTTCGCATTTTTTGAAAGCCATACATAAACGTATACCTATATACAATTTTCTAAAAAATCACATTTTAAAACATAGACCTAAAACACCATTTAAATTAAAAAAAAGAAACAGACAATAAAGAAATCTAAAAAAAAATAAGAAAAGAAAACTAACAATTTAAAAGCTAACTTTTAATAAACAATTTGGACTTCCCCGGAAACAGTTCCTCTAATATCGTGAAAGCATCGCTCCAAGGCACCACTTTGGCTGTGACTTGAGGGTTTGGAGATGAGAGCGTCTTCTTTATCAGGTTGTCCATGGGATAGCCTTGCCTTGGAAAAACTATCGACTGAAATAAAATCATATATTATTTTATAATATATTTAATTAAAAGGTAGGTTTGTTTGTTTTAACACGCAAATCTCAGAAACGACTCATCCGATTTGAAATTTTTTTTTTCCATTGGATAGTCCGTTTATTTAACAAGGCTAAAGGCTATATATCATCATGCTACTACCCAAGGGACCGGAATAGTAATATATAACCATGATTGCTGTAAAGCATTCGAACAATAAATAGCTCAAAATAAAACTGCGACAAAACCCTAAAAGATAGTTTCATTTAAAATGTTTCATAATACTCACGTCTGGTGGTAAACTGGTGGCTGGACAGTAATCGTTCCTCCCATCCCCACTGTACACCACCCGGGAATACCCGCGGGATTTGGTCCATTGGGTTAGCGCTATGGACTTGCACAGGTTGGATGGACAACGTGTACACGTCGTTTGATTCATACACGGCTCTATGTAGAGCCTGTCCTGTTTCCAGAAAGCTCGATTCGTTATCACTGCTGTAATGGCTTCCTGAAAGCAAAATTATTTTTTAAATTTATAACTAGCGACTTGCCC